TAAATAAAATTTCTTTCTTTATCGCAGGGGTCGACAACCTTTTACTGACTATGTGGCGACTTTAAAATCATTCAGTGGGCCAACAGCATACGTAATTTTATACAAGTCAAAGTCAATATATTTCTTTTACAATATATTTTATATAGTAATATATACATAGAATAAAGCTGTTTTAAAAGTTTGTTTTTTTTAAGTTTTTATTATTAATTGGCGTTTAACAGCTAAATATCTTCTTTGCGTTGTAGTAGTTAATGGTTCGGACTTCGTCATGTCATTTGCGGCTGCGTGCCATTAGAAATTCCTTGACGTGCCAAGTGTTGCACGCGTGCCATAGATTGCCGACTCCTGCATTATTGGAGATGTAATATTGAAGTGTGGATACAAAAAAAATAAAATAAAACAAAAATGAAAAAAAAAAAAACACGAAAATACCAAGTATAAAACCTCGATATATGTTTTTCGTAAATTTAATTTCGCCGTTACACATTTGTACATTACAACACTTGTACATCGTTATAATGGGGCCTCACATCAATGAGGGGGATGGTGTGCAACTGAAACCGTTGAGAGGAAGGCCCCGAAACGGTGCACATTCTCTCCTGATGACCCCAGTTTAAATATAAATTCGAGAGGAACACATCAAAATTCAGTGAAGTCATATGCCGTAGTGAAGCTCGGTGGAAGTGTCATTGGCATGAGGAGCATTACACATTCAGCTCGCTTCAGGTGAGTTTCAATTACTTTCCAGTAATTTCCTTTTTTCCGTTTGACCGTTGTAGATGACGTCATCTTTAACTGACTTAAATTCTAACACCAGCAATCTGAAAATGCCAGATTTTCATCAAATCTTTCCCGCATAAGATACTAATCAGTCACAATTCTTGACAATGACTGCGAGAGTCGAACGTACCCAAATGTAACAAAATAAAGAAATTAATTTGGACACTGTATTAACATTTTTAATCCCGGTGTAAAATACACACACACACACGTGTGTGTATGTGTGTGTGCGTGTGTGTGTGTAGTCCTATATTTTTCTTATTGGAAACATTATTTTTACTGGAGAAACGACTTTTAAGGGGCGTTTATTATTTCGTCTAGCGGCCTCCGCATTCGAGAAATCGTAATAAGTATTGTACAGAATTCAATACAAAGAAAGACTTAAAATTTTGTAAGCCGTTGTAATACAAGGGAAGCAGAAATATGAAGGAGGAGGTTGTAAATTGAAGAATGTATAATTGAAAATAATATCTTGAATATTCACTTTGGTCGTTATAAATGAGGTCACGTTTAAGTGACCTGTTCAGTTTGGTCGTTGTAAGAGAGGTCACGTTTAAGTGACCTGAAATTAGTTCCAGCAAACGAGGAAACACCGGAATTAGATGAACAAATTTTCACGGAGAGACCAAACACGTAATTCTTGATAACGACAATAGGGAGAGTCAAAAGTACTGGGGGTGAAAAAAAAAAAATAAAGACTTTGCGAAGTTTACCAGATTTATTCTGACATAAAACAACTAATTCAGAAATTTAGAAAGAATTAATAAAAATTAAACAAACGGATCTTGTTGGTATTAGCACAAATTTCAGTGTGTGCTGGAGGTGGAGGGTTGGGTCCCCCGGGGCCTCCCTTTGATCAAATGTATCTTGGCGATGTGGCCTCCATCTTCTGGCTTTCTCCTGCTATATTTTAGATAGGAGTCATTCCCTTGTTCAAATTTTAACTTAATTTAAATCAAAAGGAAAAAAAAAAGATTTTCAGTGCCTCCACGCCCCGGGGACGCCCTTTGATCATCATGAAATATACTTATCCAAGTACTCTAGAAATCATTCCCTTGTTCAAATTTAAGTTCAAATTTATATCAAAGGTAAAAAATTTTCAGTGGGAGGTTTGTACCCACCGGCAACCCCTTTTGATGAAAATAAAATATACATATGACAAATGTAACCGATTTACGTGTCGACACAGCACCATCTACCCAAGACTTTAATTAAAATTAATAACTCAAAAGCCAAAGATTTGCAGACATGCTTATATAGACATCATTTTTCCTTGTTTAGTGTGAGGAAACCGTCCCCAAGTTTTGTAAAAGGATGTTTGATACATCGTGTATATACATATATATATCGTGGCCTGACCATTGCGTCTAGCATGAAACAGACTCTCGCCTCTAAGTGTTGACTTCAATGTTCAATTTTATATTTCCATACGCTCTATCTCTGATATTGAGCACTTTATCCCATAAATATAGCACACCCTAAGACTATATTTCTTCATTCATATATATATATATATATATATATATATACATATATATTCATCTCTCTCTCTCTCTCTCTCTCTTATATATATATATATATATATATATATATATATATATATATATATATATATATATATATATATGAGCATCTTTGCGTATGACATCTGGCAGCAAGGCCTCCGGTCGGGAGGTTTGAGGAGTATGGAACCACATCTTAATTGCTATTGTTCCCAGGTCTGCCGTGAGCCGGGGTTGTATCACCTGTTAGGGTACCAACTATGGGCAAATAGTTAACAGCCAAACTGGGGTCAAAACACTATGAAACACAATTGTACACGAATGACAAAAGTAACCTAGTCTACCTGTCAACATAGCACCATCTAGAGTAAACTTTATTAAAACTTGATAAAACGAAAACGAAAAAAAAAAGACTTAAATTGTTAAATGTGAAAGAAAAAGAAAAAAAAAATCATTAGACGCTTAAACATAACTCACATTTAAAATTGGTCCAAGTTATTGGAACACCCTTTATATATATATATATATATATATATATACTGTAAATATATATAGATGTGTGTATGTGTATGTGAGTGTGTATGTGTGCATATCGCTATATATGCGCATGTGATACATGTTCGCGTGTAAGGGAAAGAGAAAGAAATGAACTGAAGAGATGTGTTGACGCCCAATTTAACATCTGCGATAAAACTTGAGTATTGACAAGAAAAGGTCATGAAGTTAAAATTCAGGATCTGTCATCTGCAAGAGAACGAAACGTTCCATTCTTAAAGGTTTCACGGGGCTTTTAAGCGATGCATTTCTTTCATCTTTGTAAACCCCCATCCCTTCTTTAATCCTTTTCCCCTTTGTCCAATTGTCGCATTCTCCTTGTAATGACACCATTTTACCGCCAAATATAAGAGAAATGGTCTTCACGCATATCTTTTTAAAGGATAAAGGCTAAGACCTGTTTTAAATATTCCGAGAGTGAAGTTTATGCATATCGTGGTGCAGGGCCGGTGCGTACTACGCCCGAACGCTCCGAACGGGAGGCAAACCTGATTGGAGGCCCCCAGCAGTGCTTTGTAACCCTCGCCATCTTATCAAAAAATTTTTTCTACCTAAATTTATACACGTTACAAATTAAACTATGCCCAACTAAAGTTTTAAAAATTTTCGCGAATTTTGACGTCATTTTGTTTGTTTTCGGTTCCAAATCCGTGAATTGAAGGTAGTCTATTTCAAGCCGTTCTGTACATGGCTACAATTATATTTTAAGTAAATTCCATGGGAAAAAAAAACTAAATCTAACATGGGGACCCTCCCTGTAATTGTATAAATAAAAAAAAAAAGAGAGGACAAGTGCAAATGCACTAGGGTCGTATATCAGTCAACCATTACCCCTAAAGAAAATACTACAAACCATAATATTTCCATCGGCATTTCTGCAGGAGAATATTTTTAAAATAATCAGTACACATAGGCATTCATTCAACAATCCAAAATTAAAACACCAAACAGCCCTTTCGGAGAATTTTTTGGAATTGTAGGAAAAGGGTTTGAATCCTCAAATAAATTGGAAAATTCTAGGTTTAGCGAACACCCCCAATAGTTTTAGAGATAGGTGCAAGCTATGTTTATAAGAAAAAAAATGAGGAAAATAAAATATAAAGATCAATGCAAACTATTAAATCAACGGAGAGAACTAATCACGAAATGTAGACATAGAAATAAATTTCAATTTTTTTATTTTTTTTTAAGCGTTTCACCCCAAGCAAGTCGGGAAGCTACTAGGACGCAAGGGGTTACAGAAAATTTGGAGCAAGGTCAGATAGGAGTGATAGAAGAAAGG